TTTTCCCCAGGACAGGCATTTACTGAGATCTTTAAAAGGAACCTGGATATAAGCAAATGACTGTTTCCTCCAGAGGATTTAACTTCTCAAGTCCCCAGTCAAGCAGCAGGCTGATATTCTGCTTGAAGTTAAGAATAAGAGTGAACCCAGTGCTCCCAACTGTGCCCAGACTCCAAGATGCGAGCTCCTGTTAGGCATCTGAAAAGACTCTAGTCAATATAAGTTTTCATTCTGTGGCTGTAGCCACATAAATACATTTTTTATGTCCATAAACAGGAGAGAGAGTTCAGCAGTGCAACTCTGCCCTGTTTAAGGGATGCAAAGTTTCCAATTCAACACATTCAGGGAAATGGAAAATACGAAGTAATATCTTTGCAAGTTGGTTCAGCTATACTGTTTTAAAGTTCTGAGATAATTTCTCAGCTTTCTGTAATGTGAAAAGATCTGTCTTTGGGTAATATTAGTAATGGCTCTTCGGAGTTCTTCACCCATGGCTTCCAAAATGTTTTTTTTTGTTGGTTTTTTTTGTTTGTTTGTTTTTTTTTTTTTTTCAAAAGAAGTTTCATTAAATTCATTCTTTATATTGAGGATGTTAAATTAAAGAGGTGAAGTGATGTGCTTAGAAAAGCCGTACAAAGCAGAACTGTTCCACCAGACCCTCAGCCCAGGGTTCCAGTCTCCTGTTCCACTCAGAAGTGATTTCAGTGATTAAAGTCATACACATAAATAGCTAAAGACCCATCTTTGGATCAAGGTCTTCCCTACCTGGAGGAAGCTTAGAGTTAAGATTAAAATACACAAAAAAAGCCATAGACACGCTGACAATTGTGGTGCCTACCAATCTTGATGGTTATTCTCCCGTACAGCTACCAGGCTACAATCATACCAGTTCTTGCCTGGTCTCCATCATTTCTATTTTCCTACCTCACGGCTAGTCTTTGGAAGAGTAAAACCTTTTATGCTCTCTTCTGGGCTGCCTGCGGTGCAGCAGGGATCCAGTTCAAACACTCTGAAAAATGAACCCAATAGATTTTAAAACTGTTGATGTGAGACTCCTTTACTGGCCACTCTCAGGTCAAGCTGTGACAGCTGCTGTTCAGCAGCTGTAGTGGAAAGCAATTCTGGGTGAGCTACCAGAGCAGCGCTCAGAGTCCTACCACTGGGGATTCATCCTTCTTCCCCCTCTTTTATCTCTTGTTCCCTGCCCAGCTATGAGGCTGGTGTGTATCTCGACAGCTCAGCAGTTGAGCTGCTGGTGATGAATGTTACAGAGCAGTTTACATGCCTTGTATCATAAGCCCTGTAAATGCCTAGTAAAACATGGTATTTAATGGAAGCGTATCAGCTCATTTTAAAGCTTCTTCACCTGGTGCTGAGCAAACTGTTGCTGCACTGCGTTTTTAATCAGTTACCACCAAATGTGTGCATGTGTGAGAAGGGTTTTAAACATTTCTCTGTCCACTTCCAGGCAACTAACCGACAAGCCTACAATCCTCTTATTATGCGTTGGAAACAGAGTCCATTCACTGTTATCTACAGCACATGTTATCGTAGAGTATTCTGCAGAGCCAGGCTTATAGAGCATATCCCTAATGTTTCTCATACACCAGGTACATATCAGTTAGACACAGACCTACCAGGCACACACACATACCTCTGAAGGAACATATAACAGGACATTCAGGAAGTTACACCTGATGCAGAGCTTTGCTTGCAGGATGAAAATGTAGGATGAAAATACAAGAGACACTCCAGCAGTAACAATTACTGATATAATGCTGAGACCTGAGACATTCATGCAACCGTGTTAACTTTCTATGTTACAAGAGGCCAGAAATTCAACACTTTACAGGATGCGGTTCTCGCCATACATGTCCCAAACATATATCCCCTGCACACACTGGTGGAAGATCCTTCACTCCTGGATTTCATTTAAATAGTGCAGTCTCACGGGCAAATTTGTTTTTATAGAACATACCAGGTGTAATCCTCTAAATTCTGAATATAGTCAGTCATACTAAGTGGAGTAATTTGGAACAGATTTCCACTTTTAATGATACCTTCCCTTCCTTTTTTTCCATTTTTTTTATTGAAAAAAGTTACTGTCCACACTAAGAATGTCAGAATTCAAATAACACTTATCAGACTGAAAGTCTGTCTCTGATTTTCAAGCACATAAGGTATCCATTTATCTTAATAATTACAAAGTATGTTTCAGTCACACAAGTCTGAACAAAATGCATAATCTTACCCAATGTAGAAATATATCTATTACAGGCTCATGTAGAGGTTTGTATAGATCATAGAGTTAGCACATAAACTCTGAGGAACATGAAGAGATTTTTAAAAAAAACCCCAACAAACATAATCTACTTATGTAATGACATGAAAGAGGGTAGTACTATGATCTTATTTACCATGAATGCTGTAAAGGAAAGAAGATGACAGAATTACATGCCACCAGTGGAAACAGAAGACTATTCAGAGTTTGATCAGTTTTCTCATCTGTCAACAGGAACAACATTAGGTTAAATTAGTATTTTTGTAGAACCTGGAGATCCTCATTTGTTTTGGTCTCTACATGGAGCCAGTATGGCTAGTTTCTGAATGTGGGGTGCGATCTGCTTTGTAGTCTCTGTTCAAGGCCATGGGTTCCCTGAATTTGAGGCGGAGTCTCAGTCTACACTTCTTAATCCAACACTAGAAGCTTTGAACAATTCTAGCCTCCCTGATCCTGTTTCTATTAAAACCAAACCAAATAAAAAAAAACCACAACCCAATACCATCACAGTGGGATGAAAAAAGTCCTAAGAAATACATCTTTGAAGGCAGATTTCCTGAATACTTGCCATATCAGTTCACAGTTTTTGCGCTCACTGTATTTTCTTCATTTATTTGCTTGACTTGCTGCCTGCATGTAGCTAGATAGTTAATAGAAGCACGCCTGTCCTTGGAGGCCAATATGAACTGACTGGCTGTGTCTTTGGTTCAGGTCCATTAAAAAATCTGAGCATTAATTAATCACTGACTTGCAAAGAGCTTGGAAGAGCTGTTCAGGCTAAACTGGAACGTTCTGCAATTGTTTTACTTTTGGTCACGGGCACTTTGGTGATATGAAACTTCTCCCCTGCCAGGATAGGATGTGCATAAATCCAGTCACTCCTGTGTTAGAGCAGACCAGCCTAGAGACTGCTTCTAGCAGTTCCATTTCTTTCTCTAACTAGTAAACTGCAGACATGAGAAGAGCTGTCATAAGCAGCACTCCTGATAGAATCCCTCCACTGAAAAGGAAATAATAAAACCTACCAGGGCAAAATGCCAGTGGAGTATACTACATGGGCAAAGAGCCTTCACAGCTTGCTGTCTGCCAGGCCAGTCAAAACCAGCTTCTCCTCCTTTTTCACTCAGCTAGGTGAAACTGTAAGTATAGAAATCAAGCTGCTGCTTGAGCTTTCCACACATCAGCACTAAGAAGGATCTCTGTGATCTGGGGCCTGTTTTCTGTGCTCTAGCTGCTGATGGTCACAATGAATGAACTGAGAATGATGCATCTCTGTGTGCAGAAGGCAAAAATAGCAAATAGAGATGTTAGACCCCACACCTGAAACCTTTGTAATATGAAACAAAAATCTTTATGGAAAAGGAAACTAAGCCAGCATGACCTACAAGCCATGAAGAAAAACATATTCAAGGGAACCATGGTCTCATTTGTATAGGGACTCTTCCCACTCCTCACCACAAAAACTGTTCTTGATAAATAAGCAGTTTTCAGTATAATGAGTACTAAGTGAGGAGGAAAATTAAAGGTGAAACTAAGGCACATGTTCTTAAAATGTCAAAATACCAACATAAGAAAATAAATACCTAAACGTAACAGTAATGACAATTTTTTCCTCAGTGACAAGGTATACTACATATGTGTATGTTGCAAGAAGCTATTCCTTGAAAATAGTTAACCTTACTGGGCAAAAAAGAACTTGTATTCCAAATGTTGTCTGATAAGTCACCTTAATATATTCATCCCCCTCCTTCCCCCACATTCCATTTTCAGTGAAGAAGCCAGACCAGAAACCCCCAAATGATTAAGAATTACTTGTCCTGCTCCCTGTTTCTCACTCTTATTCCCACACAGTGTGCACATATGCATGGATGGTGAAGAATTACATCTCACATAAAAATTTCCCCTTTGCTACCCTAAAGCTGTAAACTTTCCCCAACTTCCAAAATGCAGTGGAGAGGTAAATAGGCAATCGCAGCTAATCTTTCTCCCTCTGTAGTATTTCTAAACCTGTGGAAATTTCAAAAGTTACCAAGATAGAGTGACAAAATGAAAGAACATACCCAAGCTTGAAGTATGGGCACTGGTTATTTGATTGAGCATGGTGACAAAAATAAAAAGAAAAACATAAAACCAGATCATAAGACCAGTCAGAACAATTCTACAAATCGTTGATACATTGAGATAGCCAGATGGATATGTGTTTTTTGAGGAATGAGACATTGCTTCTATTTGAGCACTCAAAAATGCGAACAACTTTGACGAGTTTTTTTGTCGCTTTCCATTTCTTTGTCAACTGGTATTAAAGATCTGGCCCTGAGGCAGCTGCAGAACCTAATGGATTCTTTAGAGCCTTTTGGCTGCAGTTCAAAGGTGGAGAAGATATTTTAACTCAGTACCAAAGATGCACTTTCAACTTGCTATTAAAACAATAACACAAACTCGGGGATAATGAGAGAATAAGGAGAAAAATGAAGAAAGAAATGGAAGACTATGGAAGGGAATGGATCACAGGCTCTCTAGGACTAGTTTCTGTAATAAGTGTGTGAGACAATCTCCTACAAGAGGGAAATGGCTTATTTGATGTAATATGCCTTTCTCTTCTTGAATTTCCACAGTATGGAGAATCAATATGAGATAAATTAAAGCATCAGGAGCAGACTCACATTTCCACTTGTGTGTTCCTATCTCAGCAAACTCTTATTGAGATAGAAGTATTTACCTTAAGTGCCCAGTCCACATGTGCTGCAAGAGGAAAGATTTCAAAAGGATACATGCTTCTTCTGTGTAGGGGACAGCAGAAGTGGGTCCACCCAATATGTAGCTGTAGAATGAGACTTCCAGAGTGTAGCAGTAGGATGTATCATTTAACAGTCCACCAAGAAAACGCCGGCCTGTCCCTGCTTTCACAGCATCTTTGTTGAACGATGTACTGGACTGCAGGAGGAAGAACACAGAGACGTGAAGAGAGTTCATGAGTGGAACAAGGGAAGGGTTAGGAAGGAATCTGTTAAAATAGAAAACAGTTAAATTCACATTACCAATTCTCATTTACATGATATGAGACTGCACTATTTTTTGAGCACGGCTTGGAGAGATCATTAATGGAAACAAAGTTCTGGCGCACAGACTATAAATAATGCCTTGCAAACTTTCACAAAATTAATCTCAATTCGCTAGTAACATCAGCTTTTCTCCTCCTCTTTTGGATAACACAACGAAAGCCTGTCGTATGCATGAATTGAAAAGTGAACCTTCTAGATCCTACATTCTCAAGAGTTAAGCTGGACTGTTATTTGGATATTGGGTTCCTTCTCTCTACTGCATTCCCCTGTATCGTAACCATTCTCCCCCACCCCTCATCCTGGACTCTTAAGCAAAGTAGACATGCTGTAAGTGGCATTTACATTTTAGTGAAACTTTCTCATCTAAGATATTTGACTGGTTCTTAAATTAGGTCACACAAATTTCCACTTCACTAACTTAAATGTTAACTGGGTGTTACTCTCTGGGTCGAAAAATATACTGCACTATTTTACAGCATTAGCAGCATAGTATAAAAGGCAGTATTTTGTGCTATTACTGAAGATCTAGCTTTAAGAACCCTACAGCTTTATGGCTATTCATTTGAGGGGTGGAGGGGAGGACTCCAAGTATTTCCATAAATGAGTTTTAGCGCTCCTTTGAAGACATGACATCTGGAGACTAAAGGGGAGCTTATCTTCAGGTTGATTGAAGTCTCAGAGCTTGTTCCTACCAACCAGACAGAAAAATGGATTCTGATTTCATTTTGGTTATCAGACTGCTCACAAACTTGATAACCATTAGACTGAGTCAATCTGGGCTCAGCAAAAGCTAGTGACCACCACCAAAAAAAAAAAAAAAAAAAAAAGCGCTTAGTAGATCCAACTTGGATCTGTTGCTTTATGCCTTAATATCTCCTGCTTTAAGACTTTTACGTTGCCAGTGAAACATGAAGGACCTTCAACATAGCTTACTGTTCAGTCATTGTGCGCACGGTGAATTCTTTGAGCTATCCAGGGTCCTACTAGCTTTAATGCTAGGATCTTTTCTTGCTGACACAGTAATGTTAGTAGTTATCAAGTCCATCTCTTATCAAAACCAAGGAAAACAAAATTTCTTTCTTATTCAAAAAATTACATAGAGTGGTTCAAAATGTTAAACTCCTCTACACCGAGAAAATCAGACTAATACTGAAAAGAGCAACAGTTCTTGATTAATAGCATATACCAGAAGATATAAAGAATAGAAATACCTGTGGGTTTATTAACATTCTGAATGTTTTGAATTCTCTCTCATGTTATAAAAAGGGAGTCTTTCCAGGTGAATTAGAATAAGTTGGAATTGGGTTTCTTATTAGCAGTATATATAGGAGTTTCCAAATGCAACTTGTTGTCTTTGTGGTAACATAATATTTAGCTTTGTGGTAAACTGTACACGGAATGTATTCTGCTATTTACCTATCATATAATTTCCTCCCAGTTACATGGCAGAAACCTTGAGGATATTCTGAATACCTATGGGACAGGGAGGTTAAGCACTCATGAGGACTGATTGGGAAATTAATTGTTAATTTGATATATGGAGTAAAATACTTAAGGAGGCCTACAAGAGGAAATGTTCTCTGACAGCCTGCAAAAGAAGCCTTCAAAAGACTACTGAGACCCTGAAACTGAGGGAAGCTTTGTCTTCAGTTAAAATTCAGAAACATTAAGGAAGATGATCATGCTCTGGGGATTGCATCATAAGTCAAGGAAACATTGACTTCAATAGATAGTGCTTCATGTTCCAGTGAATGCCTGTGGTGGAGCTTTTAATGCACAAAAGCATCAACTAGTGAATATGGGTGTATGGAGCCAGCTCAAACGAAGAAGACAACAAATGTGTCAGAATATGGTATTGTGGTTTGTGAGCAGAAGCATCACTCACAAGCGGAGGAAGCTAATTCTATGGCTGTATTTGGCACAGTGAAAACAAGGGAAATGTCAAGAAGTAATTCAGGGCAGACGTTAGGGACAAAAGTACTCCAAGTGATTAGGAGATTCATTTACTGATACGGAGTATCTATGAAGATTATGGAATCTCATCAGCTATATTTAAGAACAAAATGGACAAGTATCTGCTGAGTATAGTTCATGTCTTTGCGATACAGTTTGGACATGAGGTCCTTTTCAGCTCTATTTCCCATGATTTCAATTAGGCTAAAGGAAGGTTAGGAGTCAAATTCCTCATAGATGATTCTTGAGATAAATCTTACATAATATTTTCATCACAATTCTTGGCACGGTAAAAGAGGACCATGCCAACAAAATTTGCTGATGACACACTGTGGAATGAATCATCATTATGGAGGAGGCTCTGAATATCATACAAAAAAAAAAAAAAAAGCAGTGGGATGACTTTGAGGACCAGAGTGATAGTAGTCAGATGAAACTCAGCTGCACAAGTGCCAGGTCATGTACTCAGGGCCTAATAAAAAACAATCTCTGGTATAAGCTGAAACCTCATCAGCTGGAAATAGATGAAGAGAGAGTCTGATGTATTACTTCACTGAAGTGATTTTTGCTTTCTGGCAGAAAATAGCTCAGAAGTTGGATCTAGTTATTGGCAAAATTATACTTGCCATATTTCAAAAGTAAAGAGTAAGTAGTTTAAATAATTTGAAGAAGGTTTTGTAAATAGCCAAAAAAAAAGAAAACAAAATTTGGATCTTTCCAGCATTTTAATTTTTATAATGCTCTTTTGTGGGGGTTGGGGTTTTAGGTTTTGTTTTGTGTTTTTCTTCTCTCTTTTTTGTAATAGAAGAGTTCCAGTTTCAGCTGTGCAAAATTACTTGAAATGGCAATGGCATTAATAAAATCACCTGTTCATTTCTTTGCCAAGTAGGGCTGCACTTCCAGAAATAAAAAGAAGCTGAACCTTCATTTAGGTGCATAAATGTAGATTTTAGAGGTTAACTGTCCTCATTTGAAAAAAATCTGATGGCATAGACCAACTTGATATCTTGAGTAAAAAGTAACATGTCCAATTTGACTCAAGAAGATTGGGGTAGAGATAACATAACATAAACCTTTCAAATATGAACACATGCATGTTTTGAAACAGCCACTTGGGCTTGGCTCTAGAGCAAATGTTGTAAGTCAGAATGTGATTTGAAGTTTTAGGTGAAAAGAAGAAAATTACAGATTCAAGAAAATTCAACTAATGACAAGGAAGGGCAGCAGGTACTTGCTTGAGTCCAACCTTCTACTCACTGTTTCAAGTCAAGATAAATGGAGTGGAGAAATAAACAGGCAAAACTGACTCCTCACCACAACTGATCTTGGCAACTAATAATGCTGAAACAAAGATTATGAAAAGCCATGTATTATCATGGCTGTTCAAAGGAAGAGCCTTTTGCATGCACTTTTATTTAATCAAACTCTAATCTGGGGAAAAGAGGCAGGGGCGTGGGGGTGGGGAAAGAGGAGCAAGAGAGGGGAAAGATCATAGGTAAACTTGTCCGCAAATGAGTCTCTCATTTTTCTGGCAGAATCTATTGCCCTAAAACCCTTGCAAAGCTGAACTGAAGTCATCATTAAGCAAATGCACTGAGCAGGCACAGCAGGAGAAGAGCTAAACAAATATTTATTTCTCCAAGGCTGAATCACATGGGAGTGTCAACATCAACAGCAAAAAGTACAAAGTCTGGAGGATGGGGGGAAACACCAAAGACTTTGAAGTTCTTAAATAGGGATATTTGTATAAAATCAACAGTAATTTGTTATTAAAACATACAGATACATTAAATCTGACAGAAGGACTCTGCTTCCCAGCTTGTGTGAGATAATTCAGTGAACAAATAGCTATCTACAGGATTAGGAGGTGCCAAGCAACAAGAATCCAACGTTACAAAAGCAGAGCAAGAAGGGTGAAGGATTACCCCACTTTCTCATGAGAAGAAACCCACCAGAAAACTACACCTGGATTTCACACACACTTGGGAGCCTCAAGGTGTGCTGACCCTCTCTCTACATCTCAAGCATTAGTGGTAGCTTCCCCAGGCCCTCCTACCAGATTTCATTCCTTCTCCCCATGCTGTGCGGAATACCTTCTGTATGACCAGTTTCCCCACTGGGAATGACCGTGAACAGCCAGGCAGCACAAATAAATTTGTAAACCAATTGAACCTTATTCAGACATTGCAGCAGACAAAGACACAGGTGGAAGGAAATAAGAAAAAAAATTGCATACAAATTCTTTCTGGAGTGGTCTCAAAGCAGAAAAAAAAATCTTGGCCCTTGGTGAGACCTCTCAATGTGCCAGAACCCCTGTCTCCAGGGCAGTCTTGTCTCCTGGCTGGTAAGGTCACTCTACCACACGGTCTCTCCTCAGTGAATTCAACCCCCTGGCAGCTAGTTTACAAGCTCAACAGCTTAGGAAGCTCCCATATGGCTGAGGGATACTCTTGGTTTCTGAGCACTGCTCCATCATCCTGCTAACAACTACTGGAATGAATGCCTTCAGCAGTCTATATTCACAAAGTAAGGGCAGGCAGTATACTTATTGCCTCTCTATGCCTGTATCAATCTATCACAAGAGTGACTCCAAGAGATCAAGAGGGAGAACAGCACATTTCTCACATATCTGAGACTGAATTTGTCCAAGTCCACCCTTTGGCGTCCTGATGGACTTGGAATCTGAGTGGTTCTATTTGGTGGGACCTTCCACTGGTGGGACCTCCTCCTCAGTGTATGTGTGACTTGGCAGGGGATTTGTCTTGCTACAATATTAGAAAACCTCAGGTTGCACAAAAAGAAAAATTGGAGGCAAAACCCAGTAAATCTGAGTCCACTGTTCAGTGGAAGAAGAGATGCCAAAAAGGGCTGAAATGTTAAGCAGGCTCAGTGTCCAGCCAGTGACGAATGGGAGCTTCA